CAGGGTGACAGAGCAAGACCTTGTCTCAAAAAAAAAAAAAAAATCCAGTTTAGACAAATAAACTGAAGCTAGGAGAGATTACACCAGTGGTCCCAGGCCTCCTAGATATATACTGTGTACTAGGACTCTGGCTCAAGTCGCTCGAAAACCCATGACTTTGACCCGTTAGCAAAAGCTTCTGTACCTGAAGCCAAGAATGCCCCTGAGGAACTGATTAAAATGCTGATTCCTGGGCCATACTCTAGACCTAATAATGCTTTTGCATCTCTACAAAGTGGGGCCCAAGAACCTGAATTTTAATAAAATGTTGGTGGCAGCCATAGAAGTTTGAAAGTCACCAGCTGATGCCTGCCTGCTCTGAACTGGGGAGATGGGGTGTGAGGGGTTGGATGTGAGGACCTTTAAGTTTCATTCCCTTTCTGAATGTGTTAGACATCTGTAATTAATGGAAATTTTAGTTCTCTGTAGATTTTATTTATTTGCATTTTTCTGCCACCCCAATCGACCTGAATAGCAATGAACTTGTTCCTAGGTTAGCGGACCATTAGCTTATATCCTGGACAAAAGGTAATGATAAAAAATAAATCGGCCAGGCGTGGTGGCTCATGCCTGTAATCCCAGCACTTTGGGAGGCCGAGGTGGGCGGATCACAATGTCAGGAGTTCCAGACCAGCCTGGCCAATATTGTGAAACCCCATCACTACTAAAAATACAAAACATTAGCCAGGCATGGTGGTGCATGCCTGTAGTCCCAGCTACTCAGGAGGCTGAGGCAGAAGAATCCCTTGAACCCAGGAGGCAGAGGTTGCAGTGAGGCAAGTTGACAGCACTGCACTCCAGCCTGGGCAACAGAGCAAGACTCCGTCTCAAAAAGCAAAAATCATAGTTAGCATTCATGAAGCCCTTATCAGGGGCTGGTAGCTCCACTAAGCACATTATGAGATGATTAGAATATTATTATTATCATCTCAAGGAAACCTCGTGCCCTAGGAGGTGAGTGCCATTGCTGTCCTCACTTTACAGATGATAAAACCGAGGCCTAAAGAAAAATAAGAAACTTGCCCAAGATCACCTACCAAGTTAGCCAGAACGTCAGGACCCAAAACCAGGTCTGCCTGAGTCGAGCACACACACACTTACTCATTCTCTGACTTGGCCTCAGCAGAGAGGAGTGGGTTACTCTTCTGATTGGAGGACTTTCAAAAAGACCTGTGCTGCAACTTTCAAGGTCATTTTTCTTTCTAACTTTTTTTTTTAGATGGAGTCTCACTCTGTCACCCAGGCTGGAGTGCAGTGGCATGACCTCCACTCACTATAGCGTCCGCCTCCCGGGTTCAAGAAATTCTCACCCTTCAGCCTCCTGAGTAGCTGGGATTACAGGTGTATGCCACCAGTCTTGACTAATTTTTGTATTTTTAGTAGAGACAGGGTTTTGCCATGTTGGCCAGGCTGGTCTCAAACTCCAGACCTCAGATGATCTTCCTGCCTTGGCCTCCCAGAGTGTTGGGCTTACAGGCGTGAGCCACCGCGCCCAGCCCTAGAGCAGTGGTTTTCAACTGGGGCAATTTAGTCTCCTGGGGCATCAGGAATGTCTAGAGACAGCTTTGATGGTCAGAACTGGTGGGAGTGAGAGTGACCTCTGGTGGGCAGAGGAGGCCAGAAATGCTGCTAAACATCCTACAATGCATAGGACAGCCCCCCACTGTAAAGTATTTTGTCTGGTCTAAAGCGTGAATAGTATTGAGGCTGCGAAACCCTGGATTAAAGGGTGAATGAGATGCAATTAATAATTATATCAGGCCAGGCAGGGTAGCTCACACCTTTAAGCCCAGCACTTTAGGAAGCTGAGAGAGGAGGATTGCTTGAGCTCAGGAGTTTGGAGGCTGTAGTGAGCCGTGATCATGCCACTGTACTCCAGCCTGGGTGACAGAGTGGGGGCCTGTCTCAAAAAATAATAATAATAATTAAATAGATAAGTTAATAAATATACCAGAATAACTGCCATGATCCAGGCTGGTGCCAGGTACATTCATCTAGAGAGCTGAGAATGAGGCTTGTAGAGCTGAGAATGCCCTCAAAGCTGACCGGGCACCCCCTTGTGTCTCAAGGAAGCTAACTAAATTGCCCACCGTCATGCAACGTTCACCGCAAATCTGCATAATTCTTTTAGACAGCCCAGAGAAGAGTTTAGCTGGAGCTGTAAAGCCACTGTCTAGGCCAGTGAGCCCTGGAATAATCCTCCCTAAGACCCAAGGCCACCCAAACAATGGCCTCTTTTCGAGCAGACTTTCTTTTCTTGGCCTCCAGACAGTTGTGGTTTTAGTTTTGTTTTGTTTTTCAGACTGGGTCTCACTTTGTCACCCAGGCTGGAGTGCAGTGGTGCAATCATAGCTCACTGCAACCTTGACCTCCCAGGCTTAAGCGATCCTTCTGCCTCAGCCTCCCAAGTAGCTGTGACCACAGGCACCATGCCCAGATAACTATTTTTTAGAGAGGGGGTCAACTTTTTTATAGAGGGGGGGTCTCGTTATGTTGCCCATGCTGATCTCAGACTCTTCAAATCAAGTGATTCTCCCGCTTTGGCCTCCCAAAGTGCTGGGATCATACACGTGAGCCACTGCACACGGCCCAGATCGTTCCCCTTAAGTCATTGAAACATACATTCCTCAGAGGCGAAGCTGGCTGGTATAAAATGTAAACATTTTTGAAATGAAGGTGTGCAAGCAGTTTTGAGTGTGAGGTTTTTTGTTTTGTTTTGTTTTTTTGAGGCAGGGTCTTGCTCTGTTGTCCAGGCTGGAGTGCAGTGGCTCGATCTCTGCCCACTGCAACCTCCGCCTCCCGGGTTCAAGAGATTCTCCTGCCTCACCTCCCAACTAGCTGTGACTATAGACCACCTGCACCACCACACCTAGCTAATTTTTGTATTTTTAGTAAGGATGGGTTTCACCATGTTGCCCAGGCTTGTCTCAAACTCCTGATCTCAAGCGATCCTTCCACCTTGGACCCCCACCAAAATGCTGGAATTATGGATGAGAACCACTGCACCCAGCCCAGACTGTTCCCCTGAAGTCCTTGAAACACACATTCCTCAGAGGTGAAGCTGGCTGGCATAAAATGTAAACAGTTTTGAAATGAAGGGGTTTGAGCAGCTTTGAGTGTGAGGTTTTAAAGGTTTTGGGGGTTCCCTTGGAGGATGCCCAGGCTATTACAATCAGTCCCTGCTTTTTGCCTAAAGTTGGTGACCATGATGCCCTGTCTCTCCTCCTGGTCCAGGGATCCTCCCTCCCCTTTGGCCCCACTAGGTCTCAGGGGAATGGGAGCCAGCAGGAACTCTCACGTGTGCCTTTGCCACCTCCTCTGGTCCTGTGTCTCTGTGCAGCCATCTTCTAACCTGCTTCTAGCTTCTCCCCTAGAACTCAAACACAGTTTTTTACCTGGCTTAACAGAGGCTCAAAGGGTTTACCTGGGACAAGTTCAACAGCAATGGGCATATAGTCATTGCAGCATTATTCACAATCACCTACGGAATCCACCTAAGTGTGCATCAGGGGATGAATGGAAAAAGAAAATGTGGCATATGCACAATGGAATACTACTCAGCCCTAAGAGAGAAGGAAATCCTTGGCACGATTCAGATTCTGTGACTTTTAATCAGACTTAGCTTTTTTTTTTTTTTTTTTTTTTAAGAAAAAATGTCTATTATTTATTACCCTGAACAACTCTGACCACCAGAGACGAATGGGGGGCAGGAGAGAAGAACATCTTGCCTCTCAATAAACTTTCCTTCCTTGTTCAAACATTTTTGAGGATTCTTTCCCAACCTGTTACATCTATATTATAATGGTTACAAATTGTCCAACTCTGCCACTCCTTCCAGTGCATTATTTTTATTATCTTCATTGAGGGTGGAAAAAAAAAATAGATCCCTACTTGTAGTAACAAAACAATGTTGGAAACTGTCATTAAATCAGGACAAGTGAAAAACAGATCTGTTCCCAGACTCACAGGATTATAAATTTAGGAAGTACACACACACAAAAATAAAAATTAATTATACTCAATAAGATACATTAAATATGTACAGCTTTTTGTATGTCAATTACACCTAAGTAAGTAGTTTTTAAAAAAACCTATGATCCAACCCACACCACCAACTAATAAAGGAAAAAACCAATGAGTAATGCAAAAGAAAAATCATGTTTCGGTTTCCTCCTACTTTGAGTTAAGAACACTGACAATAATTTGCATGCAGTGAATACAGTTCCCTGAATACAACAGATGAATTATTTTCTATACATATTTATTTATGGAGAATTGGTTAATAAACACATTTTAAGTTCAATATATTATGTATTTCTGAGTGGGGAAGCAATCTTAAACATTTTAAACACCAGAAATATACAAAATTTTAAGTGAAATAATACAAAGTGCCTTGTGTTTTGATTCTGTAGTCACACCATAAAAATCTCAGATTAAGAGAACTCTGAAAAACATTGTTTTGAATGTTAAGAATCATGTTTTGAGGGAGGGAGAGAATTAACAGCCTTTCTTTGCCTTAAAATACTTCTTATGAAATGTTTTATGAAATTGCAATTGGAATGAAGCAGCTCCTAAAGTCGTCAGTGTCCAGAGGAGGAAAAACTGAGCACAGGAGCAAACTACTGTTTTACTCAATTCCTTCCAATGCTCAGCTGAAGAAGTTCTCAGCTGAGAGCAGGCACAGTGGCTCATTCGCATAATCCCAGCTTTTTGGGAGGGTGAGGTGGGTGGATCACTTGAGGGTCAGGAGTTTGAAACCAGCCTGGCCAACAAGGTGAAACCCCAACTCTACTAAAAATAAAAAAATAGCTGGGTATGGCGGCAAGTGCCTGCAACCCCAGCTACCCGGGAGACTGAGGCAGGAGAATCACTCGAGCCCAGGAGGCGGAGTTTGCACCAAACTGAGATCGCACCACTGCATACCAGCCTGGACAACAGAGCGAGGTATTGTCTCAAAAAAAAAAAAATAAAATAAAACAAAACAGAACAAAACAGAACAGCTGCTGAAGTCTTTTCTATTTTAGAAAGGTAGTATGAATAAGTTTTTCTACATATTAACTACAATTTATGGTACTTTGTGAAATGTTTTCCCGTTTTTAAATGCAAGAGTCTATCATATCTCTACTTACAAAGCAACAGGTACTGCTAGGGGTCATAGGCTAAGATCTGCCACCCCAGCAGTCTGCATGGACCATAAGCAGGCGTGGAGAGGACCAAGTTCACCTGTTCAGCAGCACCACAGAATCCAACTCTCCAGCCTTTCTGCCATTAATTATCATAGATATGGGCTTTTTCCTGATATTCTATTCCCATTGGAGGCTTTTTATTAAGACCTTGTTCCTGTGAACACATTTGGGGCACAACATATTGTCTTCAAGGTGTGGGGGTGGAAAACTGGAGGCAGGAAGCAGGAAGAGCGCACTCACTCTCCCTTCTTGCTTTTCTGGAACCCAGGCTTGACCAGCATGAAACTGCAGGTGCACCCAACCATCTGTGCCTGCAGGGAGACTTTTCCCATGGACCACACAACACCTGACACCACTGGCTTCTTGTGGAGGTTCCACTGCCTCTGGCGTCCTTGCCCTGGCTGAAATTCTCGCCCAGGAGGCCAGCACAGCCTCTGGGGCAGAAGTTGTCACCACAACCGTACTAACTCCCTCAAGGAGAGCAGTGGACTCTTCCAGAGCAGGCAGCCCCTCCGCAGGGGGAAGGGTCACTTGAGGAGGCTGTGTCCCAGAACTCTGCAGGCACGCTTTCCCTTTTTCCACCTTTAATTTATTTTGCAATGACTTCCGGATTTTGGCCTCTTTTGCTGTGCTAGGGAAATCCTTTTGGTTTGGGTAAGCAAAGGCACACAGGCGCTTATACGCATCCAGTTTCTGGCCTCTGGTGCTCAGCTTTAATTGCTGACACCAGGCCCGTACGATGTTCCGGTGAATCAGATTAACAGGTGGCAGTTTAGAGGGTAAGGGAGGGATTGGTATCTTCTTCTGAGGTCTGGGGTTATCACAGTCTGCCTTCTTCTTAGGGCAGAGCATTTTGTCACCTTTAACAGATACTTTTCCTTTGGTTCCCCCCTTCGCTGATGTTCCTGGCAAAGCAATCATGTTTGGTTGATTAGAAGCCTGCTGATCCTCTTCCCTCGCCTTCTCTGTGGAGGTCCACTCCTTGCCTTTTACCTTCTCCATATTCAGACAGGAAGCGGAGCTTGGCCAGATGCTTCTTTTTTTTTTTTTTTTTTTTGAGACACAGTCTTACTCTTTCACCCAGGCTAGAGTGCAGTAGCACAATCTCTGATTACTGCAACCTCCACCTCCCAGGTTCAAGTGATTCTCATGCCTCAGCCTCCTGAGTAGCTGAGATCACAGGTGCATGCCACCAGACCTGGCTAATTTTTGCATTTTTAGTAGAAATGGTTTTTCGCCATGTTGGCCAGGCTGGTCTCGAACTTCTGGCCTCAAGTGATCTGCCCACCTCAGCCTCCCAAAGTGCTGGGAGTACAGGTGTGAGCCATTGCGCCTGGCCCAATCTTAACAATTTAAAAATATACAGTTCTCTGGCATTAAGCACGTTCACGTTGTTGTACAATCATCACCATCCATCTGCAGAACTCTTTTCATTTTGCAAAATTTGAATTTAAATTCAGTACGCATTAAACACCAATTCCCCGTTCCCCCTCCCCCCGCCACCAAGTTCCTGGAACTACCATTTTACTTTCTGTGTGTATGAATTTGACTGCTCTAGGTACCTCATGTAAGTGGGATCGTGCTGGATTTGTCTTTTTGTGACTGCCTTATTTGCACAATGTCTGCAGGGTTCATCTGCATTGTATGACTGTCCAAATTTCCTTTCTTTTTTTTTTTTTTTTTTGTTTTGAGATGGAGTCTCACTCTGTTGCCCAGGCTGGAGTGCAGTGGCACGATCTTGGCTCACTGCAACCTCCACCTCCCAGGTTCAAGTGATTCTCCTGCCTCAGCCTCCCGAGTAGCTGGGATTACAGGCGTGTGCCACCATACCCAGCTAATTTTTGTATTTTTAGTAGAGACGGGGTTTCGCCATGTTGGCCAGGGTGGTCTTGAACTCCTGAACTCAAGTGATTCGCCCACTTCGGCCTCCCAAAGTGCTGGGATTACAGGCATGAGCCACCGTGCCCAGCCCAAATTTCCTTCCTTTTTAAGGCTGACTAATATTCCAAGTATGAATAGACCACATTTTGTTTCTGGAAAATCACTAAGAGAGGAGATTTTAGTAATATTGCACAATGGAGTATTATTCATCCATTCATCGGTCCACAGGCACGGGTTGTTTTCATGTTTGGCTATTGTGAATAATGCTGCTCTGAACACAGAAGTACAAAGATCTCTTCAACACCCTCCTCCCCATGGTTTCTCATCTGTAACCAGAAGTGGAATTACTGGATCACATGGCAATTTTATTTTTTATTTTTATATTTGAGGAACTGCCATACTGTTTTCCATAATGGCTACACTATTTTATATTTCACCAACGGTGTGTGAAAGTTCCGATTTCTCCACATCCTCGCCAACACTTGTTATTTTCTGATTTGTTTGGTCTTTCTTTATTCTTTCTTTTTTGAGACAGGGTCTCGTTCTATCACCCAGGCTGGAGTGCAGTGGCACATTCATAGCTCACTGCAGCCTCAAAACCCTGGGCTCAAGCAGTCTTCCCTCCTCAGCCTCCCAGGCAGCTGGGACTATAGGCACGCACCACCATGCCTGGCTAATTTTTTTAAAATTTTGGTAGAGACGGGCTCTTGCTTTGTGGCCCAAGCTGGTCTCACAACTCTTGGCTTCTAGCAGTCCCAAAGTGCTGAGGTTATGGGCGTGAGCCACCAAGCCCGGCTCAGGTGTTTTTTATTTTGATAGTAGCCATCCTAACAGGTACAAGAGAAGGCTGCAAATTTAAAGAGAGTTATCAGGGGAAGTTTTGGTGAGAAGGTGGCATTTGCAACTTGATGAGGGTGAAGCAGGTACCTTGGAGAAGAGCTTTCTAGGGAGTGGATCCTGGTTGGCATGGTTGAGGAACAGCAGGGAGGCAGCAGCATGTGGGTAGGATAGTGAAAGAGATGAGGTGAGATGGGAACCATGGGAGAGTTTTGAGCTGAGGGAGGACATGATCTGACTTTTAAAGAATCCATTTGCCCACTGGGTTGAGAATAGGCTATAGGGAGGCAAGGGCAGGAGTGGGAAAACCAGCACGGAGATCATTGCAATCAATCCCAGTGAGAGAGGATGGGGACTTGAACCAGGGAATCGCAGTAGAAGGGGTGGGAGCCTGGGTGTAAGTTGAAGGCAGGATCAAAGGATTTCCTGATGGACTGAAAGTGAAATGAGGCCAGGTATGGTGGCTCAGGTTCTGTGATCCCAGCACTTGGGAGCCAAGGCGGGAGGGTCACTTGGTGCCAGGTGACCAGCCTGGCCAACATGGCGAAACCCTGTCTCTACAAAAATGCTAAAATTAGCTGGGCATGGTGGTATGTGCCTGTAATCCCAGCTATAGGGGTGGCTATGATAATTGCTTGAACCTGGGAGGCAAAGGTTGCAGTGAGCTGAGATCACGCCATTGCACTCCAGCCTGGACAACAGAGCAAGACTCTGTCTAAAAAACAAAAAACAAAAACAAACAAACAAACAAAAGAAAATAAAACAGAAAGTGGGAGAAAGAGAGGAGTCTAAGTTGTCTCCAGAGTTTCTGGCTGAATGGGATAAATGGAGTTGTCATCAGCTGAGACAGGGGAGGCTGAAAGAGGAGCAGGTGGAGGACAAAGAGTTCAAATTCAGACAGGTGTTCTCACACCACACCAGGCTTCTTCCTAGTGTTTTACACAAGAGACTGTGGCTTCCAGGCACTCCTACTACCTAATAAGTTGGAAGATCAGGGAAACAAATCCACAGTGGAGGAAACACCAGCACCACGAATCGAGCCCTTACTCAAAGCCAGGCCCTGTGCTGAGAGCATCCCAGTGACGATCTCCCTGATCCTTATAACAGCCCTGCAGGTATTATCACTGTTCCGACTGCAGATAGGCACTCAGCCTTGGGAAGAAGAAGTCTTTGGCCCGAGGCCCCCCAGATAGGGCCACAGCTGGAGTTTGAATCCAGGTCTGCCTGAGTCAGTTTCCACGTTTTTACCTCTGCTATTAAGATCGGCAGAAGTCAGGGACAGGTTTATTAAAATAGTGGACCCAAACTCAATATTGAAAGACAGCGTTTGTAAGAAAGGAGAGAATAGATTCAGCAAATGCAGGATGACATCCCAACTCCTTGTCATATAATACAAGACCCTGTATGGCCTGGTCTCTGTTGTCCTCAGCAGTTTCCCCTCAAGCCACTTGTTCATTAATGATCTGTTGGCTGGTTCTGAGCCATGCCAAGCTTTTTTCCCAATTCAGGGCTTTTACCCATACAGCTTCTTCTTCCTGGAGTGCTCCTCATCCTCTTTTTCCTGAATGACTCCTACACATCTCCAGAGGCTCAGGTCAAATGTCACTTCCTCAGGGAAGCCTTCCATGATACCCTCTCCCATCTAAAACTAGCCTCCTCACTTGTACCCTGCATTAGTTCACTCTGTCACTCAGGCTGGAGTGCAGTGTTGCAATCATGGCTCACTGTAGCCTTGACTTCCCAGGCTCAAGCAATCCTCCTAACTCAGCCTCCCTAGAAGTTGGGGCCACAGGCATGAGCCACCAGACCTGGCTAATTTAAAAAAAAATGTTTTTATTCAAAACAGGTCTCGATATATTGCCCAGGCTTGTATTAGTTCTTGATAGCACTTAAGACAATTCTGATAATTATTTGCAATGATGTATTCAGTGTTCTCCCTCCTACCAAACCAGTGCTGTCCAATAGAACTTTCTGCAATTATGGAAATGTCCTAGATCAAGGGTCCCCAATCCCTGGGCCGAGAACCAGTAATGGTTTATGGCCTGTTAGGAGCCAGGCTGCACAGCAGGAGGTGAGCGGTGGGTGAGCATTACCGCCTGAGCTCTGCCTCCTGTCAGATCAGCAGCGGCATTAGATTCTCATAGGATGTGAACCCTTTTGTTAGCTGAACATGCAGGGGGCCTAGGCTGAAGACTCTTTATGAGAATATGATGCCTGAAGATCTGAGGTGGAACAGTTTTATCCCAACCCCTTCCCCTACCTAACCACCCCTATCCATGGAAAAATGGTCTTCCAAGAAACTGCTGCTTGGTGCCAAAAAGTTGGGACCACTGGCCTAGATGTATGCTGTCCAATATGGTAGCCACTAGCCACATGTAGCTCTTGAGCATTTGAAATGTGGTTAACATGACTGAGGGACAGATTTTTTAAATTTATTTTAATTATTTTATAAAAAAATATATATATATATATATTTTGAGACAGAGTCTGTGTTGCCCAGGCTGGAATGCAGTGGCACAGTCTCTGCTCACTGCAAACTCTGCCTCCCAGGTTCAAGTGATTCTCCTGTCTCAGCTTCCCAAGTAGCTGGGACTACAGGTATGTGCCACCATACCTGACTAATTTTTTTGTATTTTTAGTAGAAACAGGATTTTCCATGTTGATCAGGCTGATCTCAAATTCCTCATCTCAAATGATCTGCCCGCCTCGGCCTCCCAAAGTGCTGAGATTATAGGTGTGAGCCACTGCATCCAGCCACATATTTTATATTGCATGTTACACTATATAAATTATCTCATGTGCAAACGGTATACTTTAAGTTCATCTAAGCTTAAATTTAAATAGCCACATGTAGCTAGTGGCTGCATGTACTATTGGACATTGCAGCTCTAGATTGTGAGTTGCTTAAGGGCAAGAACCATTCTACCTTACTCAGCTGTAGAATCCTTGTACCTAGGATAGTATCCAAGTAAATCAGTGAATGAATTAATGAATAAATGAAGCAATCGGTCAATCAAGGTCTGCAAACTTGCTTTCAAGAAATCATCCTAGAAAGAATAGACCTAGAAAAGTCTGATTTGCACAAGGTCACACAAAAAGGGAGAACTGGATGCAAACTCTCAGCGTCCCATATCTCCTCTATGTGGTGCTGTCCCAGAGTGGACAGCATGTGAATGGCAATGGTTTTTTGTGGTCTCAGATGAACTACCCCAGAGCTGCGTGAAGGTGAGGTGCCTTCACATGAGAGGAAGGACTATTTTCTTAGACACCCTCACTCCCTTTCCCCATTCCCCAACCATGTAAACTACTTAGTGGCTTATAATCTGCTAACACTTGGCCTCCCACGGGACTCAGCCTGTTCCAAAGTCCACTCTTGCCAACCCTCTGCAAGGCACTCTGAATTTTTTTTTAGCCATATTGCTCTCGGGAAATCTGCTGCCTGCAATCTGTGCATAATATACGAAGGGTGTGGTTTAAAAAACATCTAAATCGTGATTTGTAACCCACTCAGATTCATGTGGCCATTCCTTTTAGCTTACTCTTTTTTTAGAAATTGAGGTCAACACATTTCAGGGCTAATTTTGACTTCATTCAAATATCATTTGGGGTTTGCAGATTAAGATTTTGAGGAGTCTGGTATAGTGAACCTACGTATTTTGTTTTTATAATTTTTCAGATGTAATAATAATAGCTAGTATGCATTGAGTGCTTTGTGCCTGCCTTAGCATACATTATTTCATTTGAGCTTCACAATAACCTTATGAATTAAGTACTGTTATGATCTTCATTGGGTAGCTAAGGAAACAGTCTCAGAAAGGTTAAGTCACTTGCTTAAAGTCACACAGCCAGGAAGTGGCAGAGAAAGGATTTGAATCAAAGTATGTCTGATTCTAGAGATAATGTACTTAACCAGTATACAATTTGGCCTCTCTAATAGATAATATATGCACTTATGCCTATTAAACACAGAAAGAACAATCAAGAAACTTAACTCTGGGGAATAGGACTGAGGCTTGAAAAGAAAGGAGACTTACTTTTTATTCTTGTGCTTTTCTTTGAACCTTGTTTACCTTTATTTATTGGTATATTGTATTATATTCCTATAAAAACCTAAATGTTTAAATTTAAATAAGTAAAAACTTCATATTTTTCCTTTTTTAAATTAAGGAAGGAATTATGATAATGTCAGGTCTATATATTAATAGATTAAATATACATGACCCTTTTGCAAAGTTCATATACACAGGAATCTTTGAAAAGTTCACATGCTCTGACATTATTGAAAAATGTATCCCAGAAAAACCACAGTTCCAATATGCAGTCTTATTCTGAGTACCAAAGTTCACATTTCTGATACTAAATTATTTTTTATTTGGGGATAATAGTTTTATTTTTGAACATGATATTTATTCTCAAAAACGTATGTTTTTCTTGGGAAATTTGTAATCAGACCATTACATTTTTATGTACTCTTATATCGACCTCTGGATATTATAACTAAACATCCTTTAGCATTTGTAAAATAATGCTGTATTACATAATCAGATATGTCATTTGTAGATCAATTAGTAAAAGATTTAAAGCAAATTTTAAGTTAATTAAAATTTTAAGTGAAAATTAATTTTACACTGATTGAAAAGTAAACATTACAATCCCCTTCAGTACTCAGAGCCTCAGAGAACTGTATCAGTCACACTAAAAGTCACTTGGGAGAATTCCTCAGTAGCTTATAGAAAAAAAATCCACCATTTTTAAAGTCAAGAAAATACACACATACTAACAATAATTTATCCTTTCTAACAAACCCAAAGGGAATCTACTCTTACCACCCAAATGGCTAGTGATTCTAAAAATTAAAACAACCTCCTCCCTCCAGCAATGTTCTTTTTAATGCCCCCTTTCATACTCTTCGAATTTACCTAACAAATCACTATCTGGTTGTGGTAGGAAAAGTCTGTAAGCCCCTCTACAAGGCCCCTGTCCTTTCCATTGCTTGGTATTTCCCCAAGATTCTCAGAACAATTTTGGTTTCCCTTAAAAATCCCCATCCTCAAAGGAGTATATTCCTGATGTTCCGATGGTGAGTCTCACTCTAGCTAGCTGCTACAAAAACCTTTCATTCAGAAGAAGGCAAGAGGTTTCAGTGACCGTGCACAGCCTTCTCATTCACACACTTCATAAACAACAGGACTTTGCCCAATCCTCTCCTCTAGGAAGGCATCCCAGTTTTTTAGCAACCAGTTTGCAACATCAGTATCATTCCCTTCCAAAAGACCTTGCAGAAAAATTATGGATTTCACAGCATAGGATTACGGCTGGAAAGGACCGATGTCATTGCATGGACTCACCAATTCTGTCCACATTTCAAAACCGCAGCTAATGCTTTCTTAAAGCACACATCTCAAAATCCCTTTAGGATTGAGAGCAATTAAAAGGAAAATCATAAATCCCGTCGTTCCCCATAAGGTCCTGACAGATCTGAAAAATGGAACTGAGTCAGAGATACAGAAGCTGGGCTGCTGGGGAAGGAAAATGGCTTGTCTCCTCCAGGCCCTAATTCCTTCCTCTGAAACAGTTCCCTTTAAATTCAAGAAGCTATGTAGAGATGCACCCCCCCACCCCCCTTGCAGGTTTTCGTTTTTTAAAAGAAAGCCTGTCTGCCTCTTGCTCGCCCCCATGATACTCACGGCAGCTGCCTTAGCTGGAATAAGTCCTCCTCCATGTCCGCGCTGCGCCAGGACGAGCCCTTCTCATGGCCCTTACATGGTAGTGGTGGATGACGAGCCCTCCGGTTTTCAGCACCGGGATGCTGGACAGCACCCGCGCGGCTTACTCCCGCGGGCAGCAGCTGTTGGAGAGGGAGCCGCTGGGGACCAGCCCACGAGACAAAGCCGCCGCCGCCAGGAGACCGCGGCGAGAGTGGGCGGAGAGGAGGAGGCGGAGGGCAGAGCGAGCTACGCGGGGAGAGGGGGCAGGGAGAGCCTTTCTGCTCGGAGGAGTTCACAGGCTCTCTGGCTGGTGGTGCATTACTGGGATGCCTATAAGGCGCACCAGTCTGAAATGGTTGTCCGGGTACCAAAGAACACCCTTTCGTTGACGACGACTGTTTAAATGTTATCTGCAGGGATTCATTAATGTTATCAGTAATCACTCTTGAAACCCGGGCTGCTGTAACAAATACAGCCATGCATTTAAGTACTGTTTCTTGAGCACCTATGTGCCAGGCACTGTAATAGGCACTGGAGGTATGACAGACCAACTCAACCTGTCATTGTCATCGTGGAGCTGAGGGTCTAGTGAAATGCATCAAGAAAAAAATGTAAGTTAGGTATGAGAAGGCCAAAGATCACTCATTCTTTCAACAAGCGTTATTGGGTGATTTCTACATAAAAACATGAATAAAATGAAGTCTCTGCCCTCAAGATCCTAGCTAGTTCAATAGTTCAATATCCCACCTCTCACTAGAATTTCTGCGCCCTTCAGAACTTAAGCTCCATGAAGTTTCACTGATGTGTTCCAAGTACTAGAACAGTATCTGGCACGTAGAAGGTACTCCATAAATATTTGTTGAATGAATGGTTCTCAATTCAGGCTACATATAAGAATCACCTGGCTCTATCTCAAACAAATTGAACCCAACTCTCTGGAGGTGGAGGCCAAGCCTGGGTATTTTTTACTTTTTCAATATTTATTTATTTATTTATTTATTTTTGAGACAGGTTCTTGCTCTATTGCCCAGGCTGGAATGCAGTGGCATGAGCATAGCTCACTGCAGCCCCGACCTCTTGGGCTAAAGCAATCCTCCCACCTCAACCTTCCGAGTAGCTGGGACCACAGGCTCATGCCAGCTAATTTATTTATTGAAGAGATGGGATCCTGTTATGTTGCCCAGGCTGGTCTCAAACTCCTGGGCTCAAGCAAACCTCCCATCTCAACCTCCCAAAGTGCTGGGATTACAGACGTGAGCCATTGCACCCGGCCTCAGGGGTTTTGTTGTTGTTGTTGTTGTTTTGAGCTGGAGTTTTGCTCTTGTTGCCCAGGCTGGAGTGCAATGGCACGATCTCAGCTCACTACAGCCTCTCCCTCCCTGGTTCAAATAATTCTCCTGTCTCAGCCTCCTGAGTAGCTAGGATTATAGGCGTCTGCCACTATGCCCGGCTAATTTTTTGTATTTTTAGAAGAGATGGGATTTCACCATGTTGGCCAGGCTGGTCTTAAACTGACCTCAAGTGATACGCCTGTCTCAGCCTCCCAAAGTGCTGGGCTTACAGGCGTGAGCCACCGCCCCTGGCCCAGGGTATTTTTTAAAAGCTCCCCAGCACCATGAAGTGAAAACCACTGATCAAGTGGGAACAAATGAAGAGAAAAGCAGAAAAATGAAACAACAGAAAACTGCTAAGATAATCCATGATGGCAGCTGGCAGGAGCTATGAGGATGACGATTGAATGGAACTTACAAGAAACTAAAGGAAGAAGGAAACTTTTTTTTCTTTCATTGTTGACAATGGGTGGGGGAAGTTGGAAGAGGGTACAAGGAAACCAATCTGAGAACTGAAAACAATCTCATACCAAATCTATAAAAGGACTTGAAGATCCAAAATTGAATGTATACCAGGACCCTGGCTGTGTATTTCACCGTGGTCCCCCTTGATCTTTGCAACAATCCTATGAAGCAGGTGTGATTTTTATTTTTATTTTGCAAGATGAGGAAACAAGGCTCAGAGAAGGGTAGGTTTGCTTGCAAAAGGTCACACTGACAGGAAAGACTTGATCTGGACTTAAAACCCAGGCCGTCTGTCTCCACAGCCTAAGCCCTTAATTGCTAGGCTTTCTTTGAGTGTCTCAAAAGAAACCACCCATTGTGGGTATAGTAGGAGAAATGGAAATTATTGAAACATTGGATACTTTAAGCAAATAAAATGTTGGGAAAACTAATTATATAGCGGTACTCAAGCTCCAATTTATTATTTATCAAGTAAATATTAATGGAGCAACAACTATGTGTCTGTCACAATAATAGTTTGAACTTAATCATGGCTCCTTCTCACCTCATACTGGAGAGTCAGTTACAACTTGCCCTACTCACACTTATTTCTAAAGAAATCTCCCCATCCCTGCTGTGCACTGCATTTGGTATCACATGATTCCTGGCCACAGCTGATTGGCTGAGAGGGTGGACACTTATCTACAGACATCCAATCCAAACACTTGTCAGTAGCTCCATTGTGGCATTGCTGGGAGAGGGAGCTGGGCAATCTGGTACCTTTCCAATGGTGGATTCAAAAGTCTCTGAAGGCTTTTGCTCTAACCACCCCTCCTTTTCTCTCAATCCTGGTGTCAAGTGGGGCTCTCCAGGGCTCTATGAATATTTATTGCACTCATTCTAAATAGCCCCTTTAGGGGCCAGGTGTGGTGGTTCACACCTGTAACCCCAGCCTTCTGGTGAGGTCTCTTCCCGGCTTGCAGATGGATATCTTCTCTCTGTATGTTCACATGCTCTTTCCTTGGCACGTAAGCATAAAGAGAGAAAGCAAGCTCTCTGGTATATTTTCCTATAAGGGCATTATCTCATCATGTTAGCCCCATCTTCCTGACTTTCTGTAACCCTGATTACTTCCCCAAAGCCCTATTTCCAAATACACATTATGGGGTTAGGGCTTCAACATATGTATTTGGGATGGACACAAACATTCAGTCCTTAACTATGTATCATAACGTTTGAAGTGTACAGTTTAGTGGCATCAAGTATATTCATTACATTATATAGCCATCATGCTATTGAATTCTAGAACTTTTTTGATCATCCCAAAGAGAAACTCTACCCACTGAGTAATAACTCCCTATTCCTCCCTCATCCCAGCCCCTGGTATCCTTTATTCTATTTTCTTTTTTTATTTTTATTTCTTAGAGATAGGGTCTTACTCTGCTGTCCAGACTGGCATGCAGTGATGCAATCATCGTGACTCACTGCAGCCTCAACCTTCTCAGCAATCCTCCCTCCTCAGCCTCCTGAGTAGCTGAAGCTACGTGTGCATGCCACCATGCCCAGCTAAGTTTTATTTTTATTTTTTGTAGAGACAGTCTTCCTATGTTACCCAGGCTGGTCTTGAACTCCTAGCCTCAAGTGATCCTCCTGCCTCAAGCGATCCTCCTGCTTCAACCTCCCAAAGTGCTGGGATTACAGGTGCATGCCACTGGGCCAAGCCTATTCTACTTCCTATTTCTATGAATTTGCTTACTCTAGTTACCTGATAAGAGTGGAATCATACAATACTTGTTCGTTTCGTGTGGCTTATTTCACTCAACATAATGTTTTCAAGGTTCATCCGTGTTGTAGCATCTATCAGATCCTTGTTCTTTTATATGACTGAATAATATTTCTTTGTACTTATATGGCACATTTTGTTAATCCATTCATCTGTTGATGGACATGTGGGCTGTTTCCACCTTTTTGGCTATTGTGAATAATGCTGCTATAAACATTGGTCTACAGTGTATCCCTTTGAGTCCCTGTTTTCAATTCTTTTGAGTATATAAATAGGAGAAGGGTTGCTGAGTCATATGGTAACTATGTTTAAGTTTTTGAGGAACTGCCAAACTGTTTTCTACAGCAGCTGTACCATTTTACATTCCCACCAGCAATGTACAAGGGTTCCAATTTCTCCACATTCTCCTCAACACTTGTTGATAATAGCCATCCTAGTGAGTGTGAAGTGGTCTGATTTGCATTTCCCTAATAACTAACAATGTTGAGCATCTTTTCATGTGCTTATTGGCCATTGGCGTATCTTCCTTGGGGAAATGTCTATGCAAATCCCTCACCCATTTTTTAATTGGATTGTATTAGGCCATTTTTGCATTGCTGTAACGGTGGAATACCTGACAATGGGTAATTTATAAAGAACAGAGATTTAATTGGCTCACAGTTCTGCAGGCTGTACAGGAAGCATGGCGCTGACATCTGCTTCTGGTAAGGGCCTCAGGAAGCTTAGAATCATGATGGAAGGTGAAGAGGGAGCAAGAGAGAGAGAGGGGTGATGCCACACCCTTTTTTTTTTTTTTTTTTTTGAGATAGAGTTTCGCTTTTGTCGCCCAGGCTGGATGGAGTGCAATGGTGCAATCTTGGCTCACTGCAACCTCTGCCTCTCAGGTTCAAACAATTCTCCTGGCTCAGCCTCCCTAGTAGCTGGGATTACAGGCACCCACCACCACGCTTAGCTAATTTTTGTAATTTTAGTAGAGATGAGGTTTCACCATGTTGGCCAGGCTGGTCTCAAACTCCTGACCTCAGGTGATCCACCCACCTCAGCCTCCCAAAATGCTGGGACCACAGGTGTGAGCCACCACATCCGGCTACCACACACTTAAACGATCAGATGTTTCGTGAACTTACTCATCACCACAGGAATGGTGCTAAGCCATTCATGAAGGATCCACCCCCATGATCCAAACACCTCCCACTAGGTTCCACCTCCAACACTTGAGATTACATTTCAACATGAGATCTGGAGGGGACAAATATCCAGACCATGTCAAATGTCCTTGAGATTTGAAAATATTAATGTATAATTAAAATGTTGGCTTGCTGTGGTCCTTACCTAATTACATGGCATTCTTACAACTGCTCAGCCATGAATCATGTCAAGTTTCTACCTTCTAAGAGAAGCTTCTGATTGCCACAGTACATCTTTTTAAACCAGCTTATATGGATCATGGAGAGGTCCCACAGAAAGATATTGGTTGAATTTTGGTCCAGATGGCTAGCTCTGGACCAATCACCTGTGGCCAGTGTAAGAATTAAAGAGGAAAGAAACATGAAAAGTGGTTCAACAGTTAAAGACAAGTTTATTTTGGAGAATAAACCTGAGAGGGGCTTCTGGACGAGTTAGGTCAGAGGCACTCTCTCCTACAGACTAAGAGTTTTTAAGCGTTCAGGGTGGGAGAGCTTATCACAGGC